CCCTGATTCTATTATGATCACCAGATTATTTATTCACTTGATTCTTAGATTCACTTGTTGATAGGTGCATATTTTTTGTTCATAATTTGTATCTTTACCTTTTTTTTTCTTCTTCCTCTTCTTAAAGGATACCTTTCAGCATTTCATATAATACTGGTTTGGTGGTGATGAACTCCTTTAGCTTTTCCTTATCTGTGAAGCTCTTTATCTGACCTTCCGTTCTGAATGATAGCTTTGCTGGATAAAGTAATCTTGGTTGTAGGTTCTTGGTATTCATCACTTTGAATATTTCTTGCCACTCCCTTCTGGCCTGCAAAGTTTCTGTTGAGAAATCAGCTGACAGTCGTATGGGTATTCCCTTGTAGGTAACTGGGTTTCTTTCTCTTGCTGCTTTTAAGATTCTCTCTTTGTCTTTTGCTCTTGGCATTTTAATTATGATGTGTCTTGGTGTGGTCCTCTTTGGATTCCTTTTGTTTGGGGTTCTCTGCGCTTCCTGGACCTGTAGGTCTATTTCTTTCACCAGGTGGGGGAAGTTTTCTGTCATTATTTCTTTAAATAGGTTTTCAATATCTTGCTCTCTCTCATCCTCTGGCACCCCTATAATTCTGATGTTGGTACGCTTGAAGCTGTCCCAGAGGCTCCTTACACTATCTTCATATTTTCGGATTCTTTTTTCATTTTGCTTTTCCAGTTGGGTGTTTTTTGCTTCTTCGCATTTCGAATCTTTGACTTGATTCTTGCGCTCCTCTGGTCTGCTGTTGGGTGTCTGTATAATATTCTTTATTTCAGTCAGTGTATGCTTAATTTCTAGTTGGTTCTTTATCACAACATCGAGGGTCTCATTAGATTTCTTGAGGATCTCACTACATTTATCGGCGGTCTCACCAGTCTTTTCAAGGGCCTTACTAAGTTTATCGGCAGCTTCTAGACAGTTCTTAAGAGACCTTAAAAGTGTGGTTCTGAACTCAATATCCTCCATTGACAGTTTTGTCCTGTTTCTTTGTCTCCGCATTTTTTATGCTTTCTTGGTGCACCCCCTAGTGGTCTTTGTCTGCAGTCTTGTTGCCTTTAAGCCTTGATTGATGTCGGCAATACTGGGGTGATTTGACCTCCAGGCTAACTGGCTATGAGAGTCTGCTGTGTCTGTAGTGGGAGGGCTTCTGTGCTGGATCTCTAGGGCGGTGCTAATCTAGCGTTTGCCTGAGGCTATCCGGCAAATGGCGCTGCGCAGGGCTTGGGCGGGGCGGGTCCCGGGGGATCTACAGGGCGGGCGGAACAAGCAGTTATGGCGACTCTCAGTTCCTTCCCCAGGGGCTCTGCCTCTCAGAGCCCCAGCAATGGTTGCAAACCTCGGAGAGAAAGCTGCCTTCGAGTTCCGACCGAAGCCAGACAGTCCCGTTTCTCCCTGAGTCTCGGTCCCCAGAGACTCGCCCTGATCTGGAGCTCAGAGTCTGAAACTCCCTCCCGATTGAAAACAACAACCGCGCCCTCCGCCTCCAGCCCGCTCCGCGCGCGCACTCCGCACCTGAGTATTTCACTTCAGCACTGCGCCTCCTCTGAGTCTGGGTATGATATTCTCTTTCCTCCTAGTTGTAGAATTTCCACTCAGCCAGCCTTCCCGTGGTTCTGGGTGATGTCCGTTCTGTCCTTTAGTTATATCTCTGAAGTGGTTGTTTGAGGCAGCGATCTCCGGCGTTAACCTATGCCGCCATCTTGGTTTCTCCCGAGATAATGTCAATTTTTTTAAAGATAATTTCCCCTTTGAATTGTCTTGGCATCTTTTCATAAATCAATTGGCCACATATTTTTTGCATATATTCCTGGACTCTCTTGTCTGTCTATAAGTAGGCCAATATCAAGGCACTATGGTATTGGCCTATAGTGCCTTGATTACTATAACTTCATAATAAGTCTTGGAACAAAGTAGTTTAAGTCCTTCAACTTTGATTTTTTGGGCTACCAAAACATTGTTATGGCTACTCTAGATCTTTTGTATTTCCACATAACATTTAGAATTATTTTGTCAATTTCTGCAACAACAAAATTCCCCCTGAAATTTTCAGTAGAATTGTACTCAATCTATCTATTAACTTGAGAAAAATTGACATCTTAATAATATTGAGTCTTTCAATCCATAAATATAAACATGATGCATATCTTCATTTATTTGTCTTTTTAAAATTCTCTCTATAATATTTGGGTAGTTTACAGTGTACACACCTCATGTATCTCTATGTGTTTTATATTTTTGATGATTGTCTAAATAATAATTACATGTTAATTTCTGATTATTTGTTGTTATTAGACACATATTTAATTTTTGTATCATCTATAATACAACTTAAATCATGCAAAATTGCTAAGCTTTCCTTACTAGTTATACTAGCTCTTTCTTTGTGGATTCTATCAGCTTTTGGCATAGATGATCATGTTATCTGAGAACAAAGATGATTTTTCTTCTACTTTCCAAAACTGAATGGATTTAATTTCTATATTTGCTTATTCCACTGACTAAACTTCCAGTACAATATTGAATAGAAGTGGTGAGAGGGTGTATTCTTGCTTCATTCCTAACCTTAGGGAAAAGCATTCAGTCTTTTACAATTAGGTAGAGATTATATATATATATATATATATTCTTCATAAGTGTGATGAAGTTCCCTTCTATCCCTACTCTTTGAGAATTTTAATCAGGAATTAATGTTAGATTTTAAGTAAATTTTCCACCTAGTTGATAATTAAATTATTTTTATTGGCTGCTAAAATTGTGAATCACATTTATTAATTTTTAAAATATTAAACTAACCTTGTATTCCTTATATAAACCCCACTTGGCCATGATGTGTTACTTTTAACATCTTACTGGATTTAATTTCCTAAACTTTTGGTGAGAATTTTTGCATCTATGTCAAGGAGGAATATATGTCTGTAATTTATTTTCTCTTATATCTTTGTCTAATGTTCATATAAAGGTAATGTTGGCAACATAAAATGAATTGGAATATTTTCCCTTCTCTTACTCTCAGTGATTGTGAAGACCCTGAGGTGGTAGAAGACAATTGGATCTTAAGAAATTAATCTTTTAAAAGATAACATTTTCTCTAATTGAATAATTTTCTTACTTTGGTGTGCATGAGAAACATCTGAAGATTTTATTTCTTTCTATTATTTTTAAGCATATCCTCAAGGAGAGGACTTTTAAAAAAGGTACATTTTTATTGATTTCAGAGAGGAGAGGAAAATGAGAGAAAGATAGAAACATCAATGATGAGAGAGAATCATTGATTGGTTGCCTCCGGCATGCCCCCCACTGAGGATCAAGCCTGCAACCTAGGCACAGCCCTGACAGGGAATTGCACCGTGACCTCCTGTTTCATAGGTTGACGCTCAATCACTTTTCTTTTTTTTAAATTTAATTTAATTTAATTTTTTCCACCACCATTGAAAATTTTCTTTTGAATAGACATTTTTATTCAGAAAGCCCAAAGTGGATCCTTAGTTGACATTTACAAAGAAAAACAAATATCCTCCAGTTATTCTCTTATAGTAGATCTGTGTTCTGAGGGTTCCTAGTCTATTCAGTGGTTCTCAAAACATGTTTCACAGACCAGCAACATCAGAATCACCTGGGGATTTTTTTTTAAATGCAAATGGTCTGTCTCCACTTCAGACATACTCTGGGAGGGAAAGTAGGTGGCAGACTGCCCTTCAATTACTCTCAAGGTGACTCCAGTGCATACTAAAGTGTGAGAACTACTGCGTTATGTTAATAAGAATGAATCAAAAGGAATAGAGGCACAATTAATTGTGTATATTTTGTGTTATGCATCAAGATTATTTCTTTTATAATGACTTCTTTTTGTGTGTGACAAATATGAAAGATCTCAGAGTCAGGAAGGAGGGTAAGTCAGTTGTTTGAGTAGTGTGGAGAATGTATGGATGATCTTTAGAAAAATGGAGAAGCAAGCTGATGAGATTGTTAGCCTCTACTGGATGTCTGCTTCAGCAATGTGATTGTCAAACTTTATTGCTGTCTCCTTTCCCAGTTGTGCAATCTTCTCTCCAATTCTGAACTGTTCAAGGTAGAGGGGTGGAAAAGGCAGTTGACTGGATTTGTACACAGTTATTTTGCCAAATGAGTAAAGGGGAAGGAGAAAAGGATGCAGAAGTGAGGGTATTTGCAAGAGAATAAATGAATGTAATCATGCACCAAAGTCTGTATGCTGTATAAGGAGAGAAATGAAGACAACAAGAGGACAATAACAGAAAGAAGGTTCCGAGATCTATGGGTAAAAGGTCTTGATGAGATGGAAGAACTGTTTCAGTAGACATATTTCAGAAAATGAGCTGGGAATATAAATAATAATGGCTGAGAAGTGAAGTGCTTGTTTATGAATTCTGTTGTTTTTATGCGATAAGAAGCTATAAGATATGGTCTTGATAACAGCAATTGAGATAATAGAGATGCCAGATGATGGGTATTGAGGAAGTCACAGAATGGGTGAATAAACATTCACATCCATATTGAAGTTCTTTTTCATTAGTGATGCCAATCATAATCGTGGGTGAATGACAGCCAAAGACCAATAATAAATGCAGTGGCATCATAAAATAAATTGGAAGTCATCACTGGCACAAGAAGGCTCTGATGGACTCACATTTGTTTCTGTAGCAGATTATTTTGAACCCAACCATCATTTCAAAAAGATATGCCCCCCATGTGTCCTAACGTCATGCGATGTCTTTTGATAAGATACATAATTGTGATATGTGAGTATGAGTTCTGACTTAGCCATGCAAATCAAAATGTAGCAATCAGCTATCCTGTAGACCACTGCCAACAAATTGCATGCTAATAAGTTCCTCATGTTTTCCCTATTCATGACAGGATCAAAAAAGTTTGCTTTGAAAGGAGATACCAGCTTAAAAGCACAAGGACGAAGGTTGTCTCAGCTGTGCCCTGCTAACATCCTTTCTAATTTCTCTTTTCAAATTCACAGAGAGTGAAGACGTTTATCAAAGGCAGGTGCTGTCAATTTCATGCATCATCTTTGGAATTGTCATCGTGGGCATGTTCTGTGCCGCATTCTACTTCAAAAGCAAGTAAGACCATTCTCTCAAGTGTTAAAAGGCTACTTCTCAGAGGAAGCACTTTGTCTTTTTTAAGTTCTCAGTCTTTGCTCCTGACAGAGGGATCTTGTAAAAATGGGCCCATCCAACATCTAGAGTGACTTAGAATTTTGTAGACTGTGGTGAGTGTACATGCCACACTTGCATGTATGTGTGTGTGGTTTATCTTTGACGCACATAGCTATCATCCCTCTCTGTGCTCATAAAAACTCTACATTCTTTGCACATTTTGATTACCTGCCAGAATTAAAGTCTCAACATTTGCCTGTGACCAAGGAGTTGACATTCTTGTGACCAGAGAGGTCACACTGCTGTAGACCTAAACATTATCAACCAGTATCTATTGTTTTTCTTTAAAAAATCTACATGTTTTCTTTCAATAGTGTTTTTACATGATATTCATAAAGGTTTTAGCCAAATGTGAAATATGAAAAATTATAAAATCTATTTTAGTTCCCCAGCTGGTATACATATCTCAAATATGCCCTATACTTCCTTTGCCAAAAACCCAGACCTTCTGCACATAAAGGTAGTTACTTTTGACTAATAATGTAGGCTAAAATATACATCCATATATGGCTATGTAATTATATATGTATACCTACATATATCTTTATTTTAAATAAACTTTGGTAAAGGTATTTTAATTATGATAATAGCATAATAAAATAGGAAATACAGATAAACATACTAATTTTTGGTTTCTTGTAAGGCACGTAGGCCTGAATAAGTTGGCACCAATTCCGTTCCTATAGCTTGTTGAAATCCAAACCAAAGCTTCATTGCTTTTCATTGACATATATTTTTCTATCCATTTGTTCTTCTAAAAATAGACCAATTTCCATATATAGCCTATTATACTTGTCTGCATATTTGTTGATCTTCAGAAAAATAATGGAAACTCAGGTCTGAATCCAGAATTAGTAACTATTATGTTTTAATAAACTAGTTTAGAATAGGTTTAGATTTTCAGAAATACTGTGAAAGAGTACAGAGATTCCATATACCCAGACTCAGTTTCCCATTATTGCCTTATATTAGCACGATGCATTTAATATTGATACAGTAATACTAACTAAAGTTCATATTTCCAGATTTCTTAGTTTTTACCTAATGTGCTTTTTTGTTCCAGGGCTACATCCAGATGCCACATTACATTTAATTATTACATCTAGGCAACTCTTAGCTGTGATGTTAGTGGGTTTTTGTTTTGTGGTTTTTTGTGTTTGTTTTTTATTGCTCATTTTATTTTTAAAATTTTTATTGAATTTATTGGGGTGACATTGGTTAATAAAGCTATACAGGTTTCAGGTGTTCCTGTTCATTTTAAGCACTTATTCTTTGTCAGAGACTCTGAGCTTTTCATGTATTATTAGCTCCCAATCCTTACGACAATTGGAATTGTGTGTTATTGCTGCATTTTTTAAAATATCAGGATTCAATTTTAAAATATTAAGTTGTCAAAGCCACACAGTAGAAAATTGCAGATGGAATCATTTTTTTAAAAAAGATGATTTTTATTATTTTTCAATTACAGCTGGCATACAATATTACATTAGTTTTAGGTGTACAGCAGAGTGATTAGACGTTTATCCCTTACAAATCGATGGGGTCTTTGAAGTTGCACTGTTCTAGTTTCAATCACATGCTTTACACCAACCACACTGGCTCCTATATCCTTGCACTGGCTGGTGAAACTGCTGGGGGTGCATGAGGAAGCCCTGCTCAGGTGCAATCTGGAGCACTTTTTAATTTTATTTTTTCAGGGAGGCTACAGGGTACAGTGGTTGTGGTTTTACATGTGTTCAAATCTTCAGCCTGCCACTTGCTTGTTATGAACTCTTAAGCAAATTACATCCAGTCCCTTACCTTTGATTTCCTTTTTGGTAAGATGGCCAAAATATAGCTCCCTTCTAGAATGTGTTAAGGATTAATGGGAAAATATTGTCAAAAGGACACCACAGAGTATAAAAGAGTAAGTACTCAGTGGGGCTTGCTATTGTTCACAGCCCCCTTCCCCCCCGCCCCCCCCCCCCCCCCCCCCCCCCCCCCCCGGGAATGTAAGGTCCAGGCAACCCCAGGCAAAGAGTGCGCCCTGGAGCAGGAGACAGGCAATCACCTGACAGGGGGGTTGCAAGCTTCTCCATGCTCCTGCTGCCCTGAGAAAGAAATGGTGTATTTAACAATAGCAAGTTACTATGAAGAAGTGCTTCATTGTTCTCACTAGAGTGTGAGTTTTAGTCGTACCACATTTACATGGAAGATTGATGATCACGCTCACAAGACTGGCGAGCAGCTGGGTAACCTGGGCCTTCGGTCTTCAGGGCAGCAGTGGGCTCTGGGACACTTCCTCCTGCGGCGCAGTGAGCTGTCCAGGGTTTAATGGAAACCTGTTCAGTGTCAGTTTCTTCCTGAGCCAATGGAGGAACACTCTTCCCGAGCTTGCCTTCTGCCTGCCCAGCTGGGACATGTTCTCATTAAAATCAAATAAATAAGAAAATGTGAGAAGAGTAAAGTGATAATAAAAATGGAAGCCTTTCCCAGGTGTAAATTATAGTTCTCATTAAGAGTATAGTTCCTTCTTCTGTACACTTTCCAGGCACAGTCTTCCTTTACTGTTCTTTGCCTGAGAGGAATCCACACCCCACACCAAGCATCTGATTTACACAGCTGAGGGCAACGTGCACTTGGTGTGTGTGTGTGTGTGTGTGTGTGTGTGTGTGTGTGTGTGAATCAAATAAATGTTAGTCTTTATTAAAAGAAAACTAGGTATTAGGTTTGTTTTGTAGAAGTAGCATCATTCATTCACTCACTAAGTAAGACACTTCAATCTGCAGGCTGACGCTCTACCCACTGAGCCAAACAAGCTAGGGCAGTATTTACATATTCTTAATATAGAAAGTATACAGTTTTTCTGAACTGAATCCACTTTCTAAATCATTTCCTATTGGTGAACGTGCATGTTTATAACACCCCGACACAGTATTCTCTGTGCTGAGTGCTGGAATTTCAAGTCCCCTCCCAAACCCTTGATCAGACTCCACCTTGACCTTTCCTCACTTTCATAGAGTCAGGTTGTTTCCATGTGGATACGTTCTTTAACTCATCTTGAAAGCCCCAAGTTCTAGGATTGTGGGACCTCTCTATCATTGGTTTTTCAAATAAATTCACTTGAAACCTCCATCCTATATACCAGGATGTACTATTTCTGGTGAGAGAAAGTCAGGAGTTACAAAAAAGCTCACATTCTCTTGGTCACTTACATTTTAATCCCCATAAACTCCCAGATTCCACCACTCTGGTCCTTTCTCCATTCTCTTGTCACCCTTGTTATGGCATGACCTCAGCAGATAGAATACTATAGCAAACTGTTAGCTGATGAGGTAGAAGTGACAAACACCATCTTGAATTTAGAAGGTTTTCTAACTGAATGAATTTAAACCCAACGACTCATAAGGACCCAATGGAAGAAATTCTTATCACTCCCAATAAATCAATACATTCCCCCAGGTAGCTAACAGAACTATTCATTGAGCTTTCAGTCTGGCTGATATGGCTCACATGCAACTACACATTCTCATAGGTTTTCTTTTTACTTTCAACTCACGTGGGTAAGAAGGGTGAGACTGGCTGTAGGGGTCCTTAGCAGACTTTGGAAATGCAGGACTTGATTCAACTCTAAGAATGGAAGGGGATGGGAGAGGAGGTGTTCCAGAAGCAAAAGCTGGATGAATAATGATCCCAACTGGGAAAACACAGGAGGAAAACAAGCGGGTGCTACTGGTACACAGCAGAGATGGTGGCCAACTGCTCTGACCATCGGTTACCACACTCTGAAGTAAGGTATTGTAGGCCACAGAGAAAGCCTCGTAAGGACAGCAGCGAATGGTCTGGTATGCTGCTATGATGCTCTTCAGTGGTGAAGGGCTTAGTCCCCCAGTTGCTAAAACACAGTTATGCTAGGAGTTACTTTTCTCAAGCACATACTCTGACCTGAGATAGACCACAGTTGGTGATGGTTCAATATGAGGCTCTGAAGGCGTAGACTTTTGCCCCAACATGCGGTGCAAGGCCAGGCCAGTTCCAGAACTCGCAGTGGGATTTACTAAGATCTACATGGAATTTTTACTTTTCCTTCAGTCCAGTCCTGTTTCCTACCCTTTGCTTCTGCTGGTGCCAATCCAAAGAGCCCTCCCTAGTAAGAATCCTGCACACTCCTTCTCAATGTCTACAAGCCAGGAACCCCACTTGCAACATTGCAAATGTTTTCCAACAGACTTGTGACATCAGATATGCCACTACTTACATTTCAGTTCCTTCTGAAGAATTGAGCCACAGAAACTTAAAAAACTCAGTTTACTATGCAATGTTGATACCGACATTGCTGGCTAGTAGGGTTCCAGTGTGCAATGCCTGCATCTGGTCTCCCCGGAGCAGGGTGTTCTCATGAGAGGGTTGATGGTACAGCGATCATTTTCCTCTGTTGGCAGTTACTGGGGAAAGGATGAGAGCAAAAATGGGCATGCCTGGGAAAGGGCAGGGATGACAGAGAAGGAGGCAGGTGAGTCGGGACGTGAGTGAAAAGGAAGGAAAGGAAAGTAAGTGATAAAAGGATTCAGGAACTGTTCTCAAACATTTTATAAACAATTCCTTCAGAAATTTATATTTCCCAAACACCGAATTATGGAATCACTGGAAGATAGTGCTTCTTATCTTTAATTCTTAGGAGCGTAAGCCCCTCTCACTGCTTCATGATGAGTTACTCAGGTGGAACTTTCTGATCTTCCATTTGCTTCTTCAGTGAATTCCTGATAGGGTTTCTTGACTATGATGTGCTTCTAAAAATGCTGATGTGATTGATTTATTTTTAACAATAGGCTACAGATGAGCTGTTAGGAAGTAGATACATAATTACAACTGGATTAAAGCAATTTAGAGTACTGGAGATAAAAGCCCCCCAAATAATTGAAAAGATGAAAGAAATATTTAAATAGAGTGCATCACACTGGTGTAAATTCAAAACCTCCATAGCCCGTGGCAAATGCTGAGAGATACAGTTCATACGGTCTTTTCTTTGCTCTCTGGGCCAGTGTTCTAATTCCTCTGCAGCATCTGCACGAGCACACGTGCTAACTGGTGAGCCGGGGAGGAGCTCAGCATTCCGCATGCGCTCTCACCTTTAGTTTCCACAGGATGCATGGAAGATAGCTTTTACAGACTCCATTTGCAGGTGAAGAAGCTGAGGCTCAGGGACGGTTAGGAAATCAATCTCTTGATTTAGGAAATCCAAACGGAACTGGAGGGTGGCAGATACAGTCTCAGCCCCTCTAAGACCTGAGCCCCAGCTCTGCAGGGAGCGGCCTGCTGGTGGCTCCCTGCAAGGCCAGCGCTCTGCTCCACCAGAACTCTGTCCTAGGCAGGGTCGTGGGCAAGAGGCAGAGTTCAGGGCAGATGACTCTGCAGGGGTTTTTGTTCGCTTGCTATTGTTTGCTTGTTTTATTGGTGCTGAGTCTTCTGCTGATAGATAGGTGCTGCAAAGCCCTTGGGACAGAGCAGCTAATAGCGCGGTGATCCGTTGCATCGTGCTGCTATAGCCAGCCCACATATGCAGGCGGGAGTCCTTTATTTGGAGTCCGAACACTGAGAGTAGGCTCAGCCTTCCTGCTGAGAAGCTGCGGGTCCACAGGCAAGTGCTTTGCCGGTTCTGAGTGGCGGTTAAGAGTACTGAATATGCGGCCACACTGCCTGGGTCTGCATCCAGCTCTATAGCACTTCCTGGCAATGTGAGTGTGGGCAAATAATCTAACTTCCTGTGCCTCAGATTTCTTATCTAAATGGATACAGAATTAATGCCTTATCACACAAAATTATTGTGAAGAATAAGTGAATTGATAGATGGAAAACATTTAAAATGATGTTGGGCCCTAGCTGGTTTGCTCAGTGGATAGAGCATCAGCCTGTGGACTGAAAGGTCCCAGGTTCGCTTCCAGTCAAGGGCACATGCCTGGGTTGCAGGCTCAATCCTCAGTAGGGGGCGTACAGGAGGCAGCTGATAAATGGTTCTCTCTCATCATTGATGTTTCTCTCTCTCCCTCCTCCTTCCTCTCTGAAATCAATAAAAATTGATTTAAAAAATAAAATGATGTCTGGCACATAATAGATACTATTTAAGAGTTAACTGTTTTTGTTGGTTACAAAATGTTTGCAAAGGGGTAAAGATCTCTATAGGCAGGGTTGATGATAACAATAATGAGCTGGTTCTAAACTGTAAGAAAGAAAATATACACTCATTATGGTACATATGCCAGCCATGCAATCAAGCTACACACGCTTGACTTGTAAAGATACAAATGTAACTTTGTAGTATGTTACATGTATGTGGCTGTTAGGCCCAAGCTTCCTATTTTTCACTGGCCACTTCTCCAAAACATTTCCAATTCTTTGCAGCTGACCACTCAGGCTAAGGGACCCCTTGCATCCATGAGTGCAGGGACCACCCATTACGTTGCTGTCCGCCTTCAGAACACCACTGGGCGCGAGTCCCTGGGAGATGATGGGCAATACCACCTTCTCTCCAAATTGGAAGGAGTTCTTGGTGAAGTTGAAAATGAGGGAAGGATTCCCTTTAAAACGAGAATTAAACTGAGTTTACTAGCTTTAGTAAATGACAGATGATAGGAATGAGTGAAGCGAACAATATGCATAGCATACATATATGTAACGATTTATTCATTTATTTACTTAAACCTGCAGAAAACAAGCTAAACAACTTCAAGAGCAGCTGAAAGAGCCACAGAGTGGTAAAAACTACAGTCTCAAAGCATCCAGCACGATGGCAAAGTCAGAGCACCTGGTGAAGAATCATGTGCAGCTGCAGAATGTAAGTTACATGTCTCTGTATCTCTTCCCACAGCCCTCCTCAGCGGTCCCAGGCCAGGCAGGGGTGGGGAGCCTGCAGTCAGACTTGTATGTGTATTTTTACAGTACTTTGGAGATTTTTTTCTTAAATCATCTTGCAGTTCCATGTGTGCACATGAACGAATACCTGTACTGGATAAAAGAGAAAAGTTAAATCTCAGCCTGGATTACAATAGGTAATATAAAGTTGTCTCTGGAAGCAAAGAGAGCTTCAGTTGTTTGTTCCATAATCACTTACTGAATCCTTCCATTGTGTCAGAAATTGTGCTGGGCACCAGGGATACAATGTCCCCCACCATATGGCAACTCATGTATTGTAAGAAATACAAACACCAGAATCAGAGATGTGTGGGCTGAGATGGTTGCTATTGCAACAGAAATTGGAGAAGGGACCAAAGAGGAAAGGGGAGAGGGGTCAGGTGGAGGCTGCCTCTTAAGAAAGTCAGGCTTGAGCTGAGTTTTGAAGAATGTGAAAGGTTCATCAGATAGTCACAGGGCAGAGATGGGAGAAACACTCAAGTCATGAATCCTAAGAATGCACCTCCAAGGGAAGGAAGGGTGTGAGAGAAGGCCAAGGTGAGCGAGGTGGGCGGTGGGCATTGTGGACCCACGGTCAGTACTTCCAACAACTTGAAGTTAAAAGCAAACTCTTGGAATCGTACATCTTTCTAAAGTAGTTTTCATCTTTTCTGAGATATATTTCAAAATGCTAAATCAAAGGCAAGTGGATACTGCCTAAGACATACTGAAATATATCTCTCAGGGTAGCCATTCTGCCCCCGCACAAGGTTGCACTTCCTGATTCTCAGGCACAAAATGAAGGGACAGAGGGCACAGTAAAAATCCAGTATTTGAGTATAATAGTCAATCACCATGACACATTTCACCCCTCCAAATGCATTAATCACTGGGAATGTATGCACCAGTTGTGACTCTAAGATATCATTACCCAAACAGTTACCATTTTGCTGGGCATAACAGATGTACTTAGATGTTTAATGTGGATTCATAAATCAGGATTGCTTCCCAGCAAAGTTTTATTTAACTTGTAATCATGGCGATGTGTAGAGATTGTTCGTTTCTGAAACAGAGAGAATGCTTTTGCTAATGATTTCTAATGAGTATCATCCCACCGCCCTAAAACAAATGCTGTGATGGAGGGCTTCAATTCCTTAGCATCTGGACCTGTCAAAGACAAAGTCAGCCACTAGCTCAAATAGTAAAGAGAGACTGTAATCAGTAACCTACTATTGCATTATGAAAGAGGGTCCTGTGTGAACTGAACTTCAGTTTGTTCAGAGGTGACTGAGTGTTTTTTGTTTTGTTTTGTTTTAAATATATTTTTATTGATTTCATAGAAAAAGGGAGAGGAAGAGAGAGATAGAAACATCAATAATGAGAGAGAATCTATTGGCTGCCTCTTTTGCACCCCCTACTGGGAGTAGAGCCTGAAATCTGTGCATATGCCTTGACTGGGAATCAAACTGTGACCTCCTGGTTCCTAGGTTGATGCTCAACCATTGAGCCACACTGGCCTGTGGTGACTGGGTGTTTTAAAGACAGAATGAGAGAATGGGATGGGAGAAACAGCAGGAGCTTAATAGAACCGGGTGTCAATGTAAGAAATGTTTAAACCTGTAGAGGATTTTTATGAGCTTATTTGAGCAAAACTGACATCTTCTGGGATGCCAAATTTCAAGGGACTGAGAAAATGCTCCAGGAACTGGCAGTTGGCACCTGACTTTGTACATTACAATCAAAGGAGGAGGCCCAAGGGGTTACATGAAATCCACTGGTGAGTTAGGGAGGCGGGAGAAAGCAAAGCTGAATATCTCTGGGGTTGGATAAAAAAGTAAAATAAATAGACCCATGCTTCTTTTATATTTGTGGGAATAGGAGAGTTAACAGTCAACAATTAACACAATTAACAATAACAATAAGGGGATTTGTGGTCTCCACTGTGGTGCAGTGAGATGTGTGGTGGGGGAGAGGAAATAACCCTGATATTCCAAAGGTATGTTCACACGCAAAAGGTCAGTAGACAGGTTCAGCTAAGGTAAGAATTGACCTTTGTCAGGGAAGATACCAGCCTAGGATATGACTACCCACCACTATTAACTTTTAGTTAGAGAATTTTAATTTCGGACCATCCTATGTTGTTACTTTATGTCTCTGAGTTTGTAAGGCCACCACCAACAGGGCTCCCCTGAGCTGTCATGTTTAGTACACAGCCCCTTTTCATCTTCTGGGAAGTGAAAAATTACGAGTTGTTGATCAGTGTAAATGCGATTAAGCCAACATTTATAGCATCTGCTAGCTGGTAATTATTCACTTTAGGATTATATACTTCCTCAGAGACTGGGCGACAGAAGCCCTATCCTTCTTATTGATTACATTTCAAAGAAATGGTTTTTGGGTCCTTGAGAGACACTCCTGAGTTGCAGGAGATTCATATACACCTCAGAGTGACAAAGGAAGTTTACAGTTGCAAGCCCTGCTTAGCAAATGCCCTAGAAAAGGGAGGTCAGGGGCCCTTGCTCAAGTGTTGGCTAGAACAAAGGGTGAATTATTTTGGAGGCCTTGAGGGTTTTGTTTGTTGGTTTGTTCTCAGGCAGGCCCTTTAAGTGGGCCCAGAGTCAGCCTTGAGATGTTATAAACTATGTTAGAGTTTAGTCATCTTTTAGTGTGGCTGTGAGTGGGTGAGTGGATGAAATCATTTGTACTGAGAATCTACAGTTTTATAGGCCAAAGTTGAGGCCTTCTCAAAAAGAGGGCTTGGAGGAGCCTGTCTAAAGTTTGGTCAAGCCCTGGCCAGTGTGGCTCAGTGTGTTGAAGCATTGTCCCGTGCACTGAAGGTAGCTGGTTCAATTCCTGGTCAGGGCACATACCTAGGTTGTGGGTTTGATCCCTGGTTGGGGCACATATCAGAGGCAACCAATCCTTGTATCTTTTTCACATTGATGTTTCTCTCACCATCGCTCTCTCCATCCTTCGTCTCTAAAATAAATTAAATAATTAGTTTGCTCAAGAAGAAAGAGCATCTTTGCCAGTCCCTTTGCATTTTACAGGGTTACAGCAGAAAACACAGCTTTGTATCCATTTTTATTTTTTCCTTTCACTAAACACAGGAGCAACAGCGTTTTGCATCTGATCTATACTCTCCACACTCACTCATTTGAGAGATAGCATCAAGGTCCACAAAGTGGCCATTTCACAATGTTCTTTCGTCCTTCCCCTCCTAGTAGACATCCATGTTCTCTCCCATTTTTTACTACGAAAGCAAAATGAAAAGAAACTTCACTCCTGTGCTCCTCTCACCCATCATTTGATTGGAGTTATTAGGATTAGAATAAAAGAAAGAAATTACTAACTATAAGGATCCAACACTTGAAAGACCTTTGAGAATAGATAATTTTTTTTCTCTCCCTCCTCTCTTTTCTACAGCCCATCCTCCTCCCCTCCCCCCACCACACACATGGCATTTGTGTGTTTGCCGAAGGCAGCAGAGGGTGAACCCAACTGGATTATTCCCATAGAGTCCCAGATAAGATATGGGAAAGTGTCTTTTTATATTGATCCCATTTTTTAATAAAGACAGTGTATGTATAAGACATTTTGTCTCGCAGTTGTGATGTGGTCAGCTAAGATAATGCATTTCAAGAGATCATCAGTTCACAGGTCTATACAGGAATTGGGAGTTCAGGCATAGAATAGATATGAAAGGATGGCTGAAAAAAGTGAGTGCATCGAAGAAACATATGCATGCCAATGTGGGGGGGGGGGGCTAAAAAATAATATTTTCACTCCCACCTTCTACCTTCTTCTAGCTGAGCTAATAATTCCAATAACATACAGCAGATTAACAGGAGAAAATCAAATTTTAATATGTGCCTACAGGGAATTCACATAAGCCTGAAAATTCTAAAGACAGTGATACAAAATTGGGTACATATTGGAAAAAGGAGAAAGGGGGGAACAGACTCAGACTTCAACACTGAAGATGGACAATTTATAGGTAGTTGAAGAAGAGCAGAACACACGTGGCTTGAAAATTCTTGCTGGGCAACCCAGAAACAATGGGGCACAGAGGACGATCTGCTACGAGGCTCCTGCTGGGAGCCTTCCCATCTAGCAAAATTACTTTAAATTAGGCTAAAGTGGTTTCCTTTCTGGAGCAAGTCTTGTCATCTGAGCCTCTTGGGCAGGAAAGGGGGAGGGTCAAATGTTCTTTCTGCATCTTTTGTGTCTTAACAACTAGCTTAAAAACAATGGCACAGCTTTAGGATGGCAAAACATTGGTCCCTTTCACCAGCTATAGCATTCTATGCAGTGCCAGCTTGGGCTCAAGGGAGTGCATAAATGGTACCTCCTACCATAGCCTGGGATGAACAAGTTGTTTTCCCAAAGACGCACATCAATTCCAGTCCTAGAAAGCAATGTGGGTACTATTAGCTTTGTTATCCCTTTGTCAACATTTATTTTGTTAATTTAATGGGAGACCATAGTATGTATAGATAGATAGATAGATAGATAGATAGATAGATAGATAGATACATTTCACTTATATTAGAGAGTTTAGTATAAAATCTCAGTCCATATATTTTTAGTCAAATTTCCACCTTGGAGATTTACATGCTAATATTCTTGCTCATAATTTTATTATAAGAATCAAATGAGAATTATGCTGCCAGGGTGTTTCTCAGCATCTAGAAGGGTTTAGGAATCTGAAGAAGGGCTGCAAGTAAATTAATAAAGAGACTAGAAGTATAAATTTGGAATACATGGGGAAGCCAGAGGAAACTTAGCTATAGTAATCAAGTTCTCTCTAATCTCCAGACCCAAGCTTTTTATTCACACAAATTGCCCTAAAGCAAAGCAGATATACATATCAAAGGTAAGGTGTAGTGTACAGTAGGCATTGTCAGGTTGGGGGAAATGCCTACAGCTGTTCAGCTTTTTGGC